GGATTGCGTACATCATTACGACTCTCCGCAATTGCTAGCCAAGACGTTCTAGACGCTCGTCCGTCCACGCAATGGCATGTAGTATGACGATGAGCCTCAAAAGCCCTCAAAATCCATCCTCATACAACGAGGCATAATTCAATTGTACTACCAGGTAAGTAGACATGCATAACACGTAAGTCTGTCTCAGCCCCAAGAACCTCAGACTATCTCTCAGAGCCGCCACATAAGAAATTCAGCCATGTTTCGTTTCTAGCTCCCAGACGTTTGGTTTCGTCCGCTGTCCTCGGGCCAACGGTCAGTGGGCAAAGTCCGTCACTTAGGGTTCTACTAGCCTTTCAAATAGAGGAAACAAAGGGCGCTGCTTGACGTTGCACAGTGTCCGTGTTTTAGTGCCCTTTTTTCTTTGCTTCTCTTGGGAACAATAGAAAGCCGCTAATGTAGTTCGTCTGGTCTTCTTCCTTTTTTTTTTTTCCTCTTCTGCTTTTGGGGGAAAAGCTTCTGGTGCAGCTACCAAGTCTCGTCTCACTTTCCATAGCAACCGACCTGAGCTAGTGACTTTTTCCCCCGCTGCACGCATCGTTGCTGTGGAAAATGTGTGGTGCGTTAACGGGTTTTGAAGCCATCATCACCACCAGTTCCACCAGAAGGTTTAGATGATACTTGATTGAAAGTCTGCCCCTTGCCTTGATCTAGTTTGCTTCTCTCCATAAACCCCTATTTGATCAGATTGAAGATATGACTCGAGGTTTCTGTTGAGACGGCAACTTCGCTATTAGAGGAGCAGGGTCCTCCTCTATTACTGCAGCTGGCAGCCGACGTTCCGGGTCTCTCCTCTACGGGCACAGGGAGGCTCTTAGCACCCTCACCTCTGCCCGATCACGGCTCATCGCACCCGAAGCCGAAGCCCAACGCGGGCCTCCCGCATTCCTCAGTCGAGTCCGATGCGGAGCGGGAAGGGTGAAGGGGGCGTGGAGGGCCGCTCACACCCAGGCACTCCGCAAACAACAATTAGGCAATCCCCGAGCCCCCATTTAGCTCCCTTTGACATCAATTCCATTCCGATCTTGGGATCCATGAAGTACTTCCAAGTCCCCAGCTCCGTTCAATAGTAACGATAGTTTCTTTCTGCTCGTTGCCATTGCCGCCCAGAATAACAATGCTCTCCACGCACTGTAATGATGGAGTCTCGGGCAAGCTTTCGAAAACTCGAAAGCCCAAAGGTGGATGCATTGACCTGGCTGGGCATCATCGAAGGGAGGCTGGGGACCACTTCTAAATAGAGTTTTTTTTCCACACATCACATAGTCGTTCAGAGTGGGCGTTCCCCGACTTTCCACTTTGTACGTAGTACTGCGGAGTACACTCCGAAGGGAGAACTTGGGCTAGGCTTGGGCTAGACAGCTTCGATGACGCGCTGAGCTCGTAGGAGGGATGTTGTCTGTAGCTCACCTCAGCTCATCTTCGCAAAGTACCTGATAACTCTGTTTCGTAATGAGGCTGCAGGTAGTTGGGCATCAATCCACAGAGGCAGCATCAACTGAATGAGCGTAGTTTGATAGTCACAAGAGAAAGCTTCGGGAACGCAAAAGGTTGGGCATAGTCGCCATGCCACTCAGCGGACTCAATTTTGGCCCTGATCCAGTTTCCCAGCGTCTAAAGACAGTGTCGTAAAGCCAAATTCAAGAGGCTAGACATGATTCTCCCAGATGATCTCCGATTAAATGAACGCTCCGTCCGCGTATCGCCAGCATGAGCAGGTGTGAAACGATGAAAAGATTCGTACCCGATCCGAACAATGTGACCCCGAACGGGCACACAAGATGCCTACAGAGAAATCCAAATGCGCCCCCCTCAGTCTTTCCATTCCAAAAGCTTGCCAGCTTCCAAAACGCCAACCATGTCGCCATGGTCCAAAACAGCCAGAAGAGAGTCCGAATTACAAACATACTCGCCGTCATCCGCGGCGCCTTGCATGCTTCTCACGAAGTCTACGGCACGACGTATCGTTGTCCCAGAAGAGATGGAGAGCATCTCTGCCCTCGGTACCAACAGATGCGGAATGTCTCTCAGAGACCGTGTGAAGTCCACCGTTGCCAACTTCCTAATGCGACTCGGCGATGCTACAGCGTCGCCGACCCGAACCCAGCCTGACGGCGAGTCGTAAGCAGCCCGGAAGAGGTCTGCGCCGACGCTGCTGTCCACGCAAAGGTGTTCCGAGTCATCAATGTCCACCCAGGGAATGGACAAGTCCAGAATTGTCTGAGGTTTCCGGAACGCGGCCCCAATCGCACCACCCGGATGGTTCTTGGAAAACACCTGTGCAACGCTCGGGTGCAGCTCCTGCGCGGCGGCAATGGCAAGCGCGTCGCCGACGGCCAAGGCGACCGTTGTAGACGTTGTCGGAGCCGAGACACCAAATGACGATGTCTCACTTTCGTGGACTGGTGCTGGGAGAAGGATCGTATCCGGTCGGAGTTTGATAAGCTCGCACGTGTCAGGTCTCGTATGTCCGGTGAGGATGACTAATGATGACGGCTTGTCCAAGTGTGGTAATAGGCTGAAAAGTTCGGAGGTCTTTCCGGAGAATGTGATGAAGAGAAGAATATCGTGTTTCTGGATAATGCCCAAGTCGCCGTGAAGCGCATCAATCGGGTTCAGAAACACGGATGTGAGTGAAAGGCTGTTGAATGTCGCAACCAACTTGTTCGCAATGTGACCGGACTTTCCGACGCCGGTAATGATGAGCTTTCCCTTTTCACCCTTGTGCCGTGTGATGGCCGCCACTGTTCTGTTGAAGCCGTCCCGAGCAACGGGGTCTGTCTCATATAAGTTGGCGACTGACCTCAGTGCTGCGGCTTCTGTCTTGAGAACGTGTGTTGCGGCATGAAGTCTGTCCTGGATTTTGGCGGAGCTGTCATCGCTCTCGGGAAGGTCGTCGGGCGATCCGAGGCTGAGTTCTTCCAATTCTTCCAAAAAGCCATCTTCTGGGGGTGAGACTGGTGGTGAAGGAGGCGAGGGAGGTGGAATTGAGTCGCAGTGATTTGCGCCGAGCACAAAGACCGCGCTGTTTTGCACCGGCCGGTGTTCCAAGTGATGACGTTGATCACCCATATTGATAAGATAATGTCCTCTTCGTGAGCGGTGACTACCACTACTAATTGCACTTCGTGTATGGGCGCAAAGATCTGTGTCGTCGCTCAATGAGCAAATCGTCAACCTCGTTATCGTTATCGATCAATGTAGACTGGGTATCCGCCGTGGACCAGATTTGTGCGATAAGCTCTTGCTTCGAGTTCCTGGGTCCGAAAAGTGATGGACACTTCTGCGTTTGAAAAGTACCGAAGCTGGGCTTGAATCACCTAAAATTGAGTCGCGGGGAGCAGCAGGCGTCAAGATCAAGGTTGTGAGAAAACTCCATGACGTTCAGGATTCGCAGCTCGGGGGATTATGGGATTTTGTCCGAAGCGCGCGGTCGAGTACAAGAGGAAGAAAACAAAAATGGACTACGTAAGTTATTGTAGAGAGACCGAGGACCCTGCGCTGAAGCGAGGTGACCTTCCCAAACTCACCTTAATTGCTGTCCCCTCCATTCGGGGCTACCCTTGACTTAGCTTCAGGCGTTGTGGGTAGCTCGCCCCGATCCGGTTCCTTGACTGGCCGATAAACCCATCTTTGGTGCGGCATGTCGCGCTTTGGAGGGATGGTTCTGCATGCCCTGCCTCTGGCGTGATCGAACGAAGCGCGGTGAATGGTTCCCGAGAAAGCATGGGTTGGTAATCAGATCCGGGAAGAATAGGCTTGCTAGCCAGGGACGACACAAGCCTTCTTCCATAGGATGAGGACTGTGGACGTAGATGGCGTTCCCACCGCTTCCGGGCAATTGAGTCAGAGCAGACAGACCGAACAAAGATACGGGCGATAAAGAAGCTTTGCCCCAAGCGCGATAGGAGGTCGGCATCACAAGCAGCCCGAGCCTGGTTCTTCTGGTGGGGTTCCGCGAGTCTATGATCCCTCGATGTTTCTCAAGCATGGATTTTGTATATCGATGCGGCCTAGCCTCGCGATGATGCGTGCTTTGGGCATATGCCAGAATCGACCACCCCCTTAATATGAAGCTCCGAGCAGACTTTCTATCGTTAATTCCCGCTTGACCGCTTCAGCTGGCTACCTATTGCAGCTGCCTAGCAATGCCGCAAAAGATTCTAGAATACGCTGTCTCGCTGCTGTTGAGATCGTAGATCGGATTTCTGCGGAGATTTCGGTCGAACTTTTTCTAGGGTAAACAGATCGCCCAGGGCACTGACAGCCAGCACCCTGGGCCCTGAGCAATTGACAAGACCGCAAAAGGCCCGGTCTCCGCTCGATGGATGGAGTAGCGATCCGCTCTCGATGCAGAGTATTTTTGAAGGTTGCCGTGACTCTGCAATTGCAGAATTCTCAGCTCTCAGTTTGTGATTTGCGACACAAAGTCTTTCTCGAGGCGCGTGCATCATCAGCCCAACGTTGCTGCTGGTAATCAGCGTGTTCTCTATGAAGACTGGAGAATTGTTTGAGAAACAGCACTTAGCCAATCAAGTGCCCATAAGCAACACGGTTCTCTAAATCTGAGTGTGCGGGAGTTTAGGATTAGTATAACGGTGATCACTGGTGCAAATGACTCCAGAGCCAACCATAGAGCAGCATCAGGTCTGCGCATCGCCAGTGAAAGTTGATCCCGGACGAACCATGCCGCCTTGGGTATCTTGGGGGTTGCAACTTGCGGATATCATGCTGTGTTGTAAGAATATTTGATAAAGAGCACCTTGAGTCAGTTCTAGAGCCCCAAGGAGCGCAGATCAAAGGATTGCCGCTCATTGTAGTCGCTTTCACAATGCCTGATTCCTTGCGATTATGCAGCTTGGCGCGGCTGTCATCGTGGCCCTGAGCCTCAGTGCCCATGCTTCCCCGCGGCACGGGCACCTTCGAAATGCACCCCGGGCTAGTAAGCCGGAGATATCGTGTGGCCCGAACACATACGGACTCACCGAGGTAAGGTCAGCGGCCAACAGGGCACGCCAGCACGTGGAGGCTGTGACAACGGCTGGCAACTCGTGCTGTCCACAGATGTAGGTACCGGAAACAGGAAAGGCTTCATTTCCACAGTATCGATAACCTGCACCATTTCGTAGAATTTCCGATGGGGACAAGCGGTGTTGACAAAGGGGGTTGATAATCTGATTTGAGTTCTCGGGTGTCTGGCATTCGACGACGATCGGCGATCTGGCGTAGACTCAATCTCTGGTGCTTGCACAAGCAGACAAGCTAGGCAGGCGTATCATGCCAAGGCAGCTTATGGGCAGGGCTCCGTTGTGGTGGGAGCAGGGTGAATTGTTCTTTGAGGCTGGGCTTGAGCTGATGGAAAGACGGTAGATGGGTAAGTCCGGGGCCGACTTTCGCAGTAGTTCCAATTTCATGTCAACCAGCGAATGCATTGGTTCTTTTCTGGTGCTAGGAGTCGGCTTTGCAGATTGGACATGCATGACTTCGAGAGCGGGTGCAGATAACGGTCTTATTGTTTGTTACTCCCCAACCCCCACGATCCAGATGTCTGACTGTCTGGCTGTCTGACTGTCTGACAGAGCTGGGGTTTCGCAGGCGGTTAGCACGGCAGGCCTGGTTGGTTTAGGCAGTCGAATAAGAAGGACACATTGCCTCAATTTCGTCGTCCGGAATATGTCTTATGAACTCTTGAATCCAACGATATCTGGATCATGACTCACGGGCGCATTCGTCTTCCTGACAGCGTGTTCTTCCCGGAGTTCCTGGTGGGAGAGAGGGTAGGCTGCGACGAAGCTGGACTGCACCATAGAGTGATAGCTTGAGCTTCCATCAGACAGCGATCCGTGCAGGATCGAGCGGTGAAGACCAAGGTGTCGCTAAGGTGAGGGAAAACAAGATGAGATGGTGCTTTGTCCATCACTAACAATTTCGGGTCAACACTGAGCCAGCGATGGCACCCAGGCAGTGGAATCTTTGCTGGTCAGAAACACGGCGGTTGCAGTAGTGGGGAGGGGGCAGTTGGTGATCTATGAGATGAGAGGTGACGGCCGCAGCAGCGAGCGGCAGGCAGTGGCAGTGAAGCATCGCAAGATGGGATGGGAGAGAGAGACGAGAGCGGGATGGTGTGGCAGGTGCCCCGTGACATGCATGTTCGATGCAACTCTTAGCTGCAACTGCCTGTAGCTGTTCTCCTGCTGTCGCGGAAAGGTACCTTTGATTTACACCATAGTGTATGGTGACAGATGTATCTTACCTACGTAACCGGTGTTGCAAGCCCACCACACCTCGCGCGTCCTTGCCCACGGTTTCCCGAATCAGGCAAGTAGCGTCATAACGACGACCGGTCTGGCCACCACCAATCGCTGGTAGACAACCCCCCCAGCTTTCCCATCCCAGATCCAGTTGTTCCTTCCCAGGCAATTTGGCCATCTGCAATTCTTGCCTCACCCATCTTCTTTTCTTCCCAGGCAGAAAGGAGGGAAAAGAAGTCAACAACGACCTTGCTACACTCTACAGTGACCTGTTTTTATACAGCTGTCGATTCGCAAAGATGACACGAGTCTCCGTCTACAGCGCCGCCCTCGTGGCCTTTGTCGCTGGTAAGTTGCATCATCGCCTTGCGCCCGCCCTCCCAGAACCCAAAAGCAGAGGGATCCACCCAGCATCGTCATCGCTGTTTTTGTGAGCGCACCTTAGTTCGGAGGCCTGCGACGACACACAGCTACAGCAGAACGGAGGGGAGAAACGATAACAAATGCTTCCAAGGATGTGGTGGAAATATTGCGGACGATGCTGACTTTTACGTTCTAGCGACGGCGATGATTATTGCGTCTATTACGCTCCCCCACTGGGTCACCTACACCGTGACGACCGCCGAGGGCAAGGAATACTCAAAACACATCGGTCTCCATCGATCTTGTTCCACTGGGTTCGACGAACCTTGCCAGGTGTTTCCGACCGAGGAGCTGTGTGCAAATGGCGAACGTTATTTCTGTTCCATGTGGCGCTCTGTCGGCTTCCTTGCCTCCTTCTCGACTATTCTGCATCTGGCGTCCATCGTCACGTTCCTTGTCATTATGGGCGGCGGCAAGTACAAGCGTGAAACAGGCTGGACAGTTCTTGGCGGGCTTCTAGTGTTTGTTGCGGCCATCGAGTTCACGCTGATGGGCATCGTGGTAAGTGGCCTGCTGAATGCGCCGGGCACGAGAGCGATGCTAAATATCGTGACCTTCCTCACAGGCATATCTTTACGACAACGACGAGCAGTTCCAGGTTCCTGGCTGGGGGCTGGACTCCTCCTGGATCTTGTGTACCGTGAGCGCTTCAATTTCGATTCTGTGTGCCGCTGGATTGGCCATTTCCGCCTTTGTGCTTCCGCCAGAGGAGGGCTACGAGTTCCTCAACGACCCCATGCCGTAATCGGCATGTCCAACAATCCAAGACTGGGTTTAGAATCAGCTTTCGAATCGTCGCGCATACAGAAAACCGGCGTCTTCATTTGCCTTCAAGGGGGTGCATGTGTTTTATCTTATTTTCTTCCCGTTAGCTTACATGATGAAGGAGTTTTCATACTTGAAAATTTGAAGCGGCTTGAGATGATGTGACGAGAGTGGTGCATCTGGTATATGCGCCATATAATCTAGGTATACAACACAGAATACACGACTTTTACCTTCTACTGGACTGCAAGGTTGTGCCGAATGTCTAAAAGTGACGCAGTGAGGCGATGTTGATAAGCGCGGGCTAATGTATTCGGGACCCGCCGCATCCCCGCATCCACATACCCATCTCTACCGCCCAATATCAAACGGTGCGCCACTGCGAAACTCAAATGAGCCCATGCGAGTTTGTCAAACCTCACAGGAAACAACTGGCTTCTCTCAAGCATTTCCCGCTCAGAAACAACAGAATAGTTTCAGTCTTCTCAAATCTCTCGATCCGAGCTTGACCCCGCTTTCTTATCACCCTATACACGACTCATCACCATGACCGTCCCCGCACAAGACGAGGGTCTCACCCCGGAGCAACTCGAATCTTTCCACCGCGACGGCTACCTCATCATCCCCGGCGCCCTATCCCCGGAGACGGTCTCCGGCCTCCTCGCCGAGACCCACTCCCTGCTGGACAACTTCTCCCTCGCCGACCACCCCATGACGCGCTTCTCCACCGGCGAGAAGGCGGACCACGTCGGCGACGACTACTTTCTCTCCTCGGGCGACAAGGTCCGCTTCTTCTTCGAGGAGGATGCCTTTGACGACGAGGGCAACCTCGTGAAACCCAAAGCCCGTGCCATCAATAAGATTGGCCACTACCTGCACGTCCTCTCCCCGCCCTTTGCCGCCATCTCTGACCCCGCGTCTTCTGCTACCGGCGGTGCTGGGAGCGGCCCCGTCCGCGGTAAGCCGGCCGCCGTGGCCCGCAGCCTCGGGTTCCGGGACCCGCGGTGCCTGCAGAGCATGATCATCTGCAAGCAGCCCGAGATTGGTGGCGCCGTGCCCCCGCACCAGGACTCTACCTTTTTGTACACGGATCCGCCGTCCGCCGTGGGCTTCTGGTACGCTCTCGAGGACGCGACGCTCGAGAACGGGTGTTTGAGCTTCCTCCCCGGTTCGCACCGCTGGGCGCCCGTGTCGAGCCGGCTCGTGCGCAAGGCCGGGAACGCGGGGACGGAGATGGTGGACAATGAGGGCCCGCGGTTCCCGCCTGGAAATGTGTACGGCGCCGAGAAGGCGAGCGAGGAGGAGAAGGCTGGGGAGGGCAAGTATGTGCCCGGGGAGGTCAAGGCCGGGGACTTGGTGTTGATTCACGGCAACTTGCTGCACAAGAGCGAGAAGAACTTGAGTCAGAAGGGGCGCATTATTTACACGTTCCACGTCATTGAGGGAGAGGGGAACAAGTATGACGAGAGAAACTGGCTGCAGCCGCCCAAGGCTGGGTTCACCAGGTTGTATTCTTCTTGAGTGGAGATAGAAACTCGTGGGTATTCCTTTGATGGAGACTCAGTCTGCTCCTAATGAAATCAATAGACATAACATCCTCTATATCCTGACATCGAGGTGGTGTACTGGGACAGACAATTAAATAGTGTCACTATTTCTTCGACCCCGTCCGCTTCTTGGGGGCCTCCTCCTCTTCCTCGCTATCATCCTCGCTGCTGTCGTCCTCCTCTTCCGACGACGAGGAAGATTCACTCGAAGTCTCGGCTTCACGCTGGGCAGCCTGGCGCTGTACTTCACTCGCGTTGTCCGACTCGTCCTCGGAATCGCTGTCGCTGTCCGAGTCCGAAGAATCTGAATCAGACGATTCCTCAGAGCTCGACTCGTCAACGTTGGTACGTCTCTTGCGACGGCGGGGTGCCTTTTCTTTCGTTGTGCCATCGTTGAGCTTGACCCGCTTGTCAGCAGACTCATCCTCCTGAGACGCAGCCGCCTGGGGAGGAGGGGCAGTCTCCTCGGTATCGATGGTCATGGCATCGCTATCCTCGCTGTCATACAGCTCCTCCAATATCGTCTCGGCACGCATGCGCTTGATGACCCTCTGGGTAATGGCGACGTCTGTAGACTTGGACACGAAGCCGGCCTCGTCGAAGCGCTTTCTCTTGGAGCCAGCGCCATTGCCGAGCTGCATGAGGCCAGCCAGTACCTTTTCGTACTCTGACTGCTTCGAGTCCATGTCCGGCGTGCCTACGGGGAAGCCAGCCTTGCCCTTCTCGGCGTCCTCCTTCTTGACTTCCGCCGCCGTCTCCCGCAGCCTCGACCGGGTGAAGCCCTTGAGGTCTTGGATGTACTCGTAAAAGGTGCCAATATCGCTCGACGGGATCGCATCGGCGTGGAATACCCGCTTCATCAGGATCGTTTGGTGGTTCTTGTTAAACTTCCACGACTGGCGGGCGGACTTCCAGGTCCTGAGGTACTCAAGGGAGGGCTTGATATCGGCAGTCGGCTGCTGGGTCGCTGGCTTGGCCGGCTTGTTGCTCTTCTTCTTGTTCTTCTTGGGGTCGACGGCGGTGGTGGTCTTCTTGACGTCGTCGGCAAAGGTCACGGACTTTTGCTTCCTCAGGGTCGGAGTTGCATTGCTGTCGCCGTCGGTGCGGGTCCTTTTGAAGGGGGAGTTGGAGTTGTACGCAGGGGGAGGAGTAGGCTGATCGAGACGTTTCCTTTTGGCGGCGGCGGCGGCGGCCGGCGAGGCGTAGGCGGCGTTGACGACGGGACCGCTGGCGTCCCGGTCGTGGTGTTGTTGCCCGTTGGGCTTCGATCCCTCGGCAGGAGCAGGGCCGCCAATCTCTGCGCCGGATGCGGGCTGCTTGAGCTTGAGGCCCAATCGCTTCCAGGCCGGGACGTTTGGTGCGGAGGACATGACGGGCAGCGGGCACACCCTCTTTTTTTTTTTTTTTTGCTCTTTGCTGTCACCGGCTTTGTCTATCAGATTTCCTCTGAAGGGAGGGGTGCTGCTGCTGCTGCTTCCTCGGGCCGCTGCTGGATCGGAATTTGCGTTTCTGCGCGTTTGGCCTGACGAGACAAGCAACAAATGCAGAATTGGGCCGCTTCGATGTTTTCCACGTGCGATTGGCTTATTCGATTGGAATGCTGTGGCCTCGTATACCGCAGTCCTATTGGGCGCAATGGATGGTGCTTGACACTTGAAAAGAGAGTATTGGGAATGGTCCCAATACTTTTTTTTTCTCTGGCTCTGAATACTGCCCAGCCAAAATTTTGGCAGCAGAGATGCGTTGTCGTTCCCACTGGACAGGGGTGCCCCGCTGCTCCCTAGTCAATTGGTGCACGTACTGGAGAGTGACGCTTCAGTATTGGTTCAGCACGTGCTGTGGTAAGCAGCCGTCGGAGCAGCCTTATGTAAGCTCTACGTCGTGCGAGAGTTGTTGCCTTACAGAATGAGCCCGGGTGCAAGGCATCCACTCAGCCTTCCAACCCAGGCCGGGAGCTTCCCGCCGCTGTCGTTGCCTCTGCTCCAGGCAAGCTCCTGCAAACGCGTCGACATCCAAGAGCTCCGCTAGAGCTCAACCCCGACTTCATTGACGACACCCACCTCGACCTTCCACCCTTCAACGACTCTTTCAAGCTACTGACGACCGACCACGATTTTCTTCGACTTAATTTGATCAATACAACCACAGCAATACCGCCAAGATGTCGGGTGCGTCCGCCCTACGATAGCTGGCCCCAACACTTGTGAAAGCCCACCATAGCTAACATGTCTTCCCTCACTCAGGTGGCTCAGCTTACGACCGACACATTACGATCTTCTCCGAGCAGGGAAGATTGTACCAAGTCGGTATGTGCAATCCTCTTCCCTACAAACCGATTGCCCCTCCCTGTGGTGATGCCGTCATGCGGGGCTCGAAACGACCTGGGCTGGAAGTAGTCGATGGGACTAACGAACCGATGCCGAATAGAATATGCCTTCAAGGCAATCACAGCCGCCAACATTATGTCGATAGGCGTCAGAGGCAAGGACTGCGCCGTTGTCCTGTCTCAGAAGAAGGTCCCCGTAGGTCGAGAATCAGCTGAGTTGCCCGTAGAGGGAGAGGAACTGACCCAGGTACAAGGATAAACTCATCGACCCCGCCTCCGTCTCCCATCTCTTCCAGCTTTCTCCATCTGTCGGATGCGTGATCACGGGTTCCATCGCCGATGCCCGCGCCTTCTCCCAGCGTGCCCAGGGCGAGGCAGCAGAGTTCCGCTACAAGTACGGCTACGAAATGCCCGCCGATGCCCTGGCAAAGAGGCTGGCCAACATCAGCCAGGTCTACACACAAAGAGTAAGCAGAATGCAAACTTCGAGGTGGCGGTGAGAACAGGAACTGACGAGTGGTATAGGCCTACATGCGCCCGTACGGTGTTGCGACGACGCTCATCTCTTTGGACTCTGAGTTCGGTCCTCAGCTGTTCAAGTGCGATCCCGCCGGTTACTACATTGGCTACAAGGGTACTGCGGCCGGACCCAAGCAGCAGGAGGCTCTCAACCACCTGGAGAAGAAGCTGCGCAACAAGGAGCACGCCCCTGGTGACTGGACGGAAGTTGTTGAGCTCGCTATCACGACGCTCAGCACTGTCCTGAGCATGGACTTTAAGAAGGGCGAGATCGAAATTGGCATTGTTGGAGGACCTCGTGCCGACGGCAAGGAGGGCACCGATCCCGGCTTCCGCATCCTGACCGAAGATGAGATCGACGAACGGTTACAGGCGATTGCGGAGAAGGACTGAGGTGGAAGAAACACATTCCGGCCGGTGGAAGCTGGGAATGGTTGGTGCGGCGGATACTCAGTCCAAAGTGACACTGATGCGTTGACAGGCCAGATCACGCATGAAGTTTGCGGGATATTACAGATGAGAATCAAGTTAAAAGCCCCACGAACCGAGATCCCCGCACACGATTGTACTACTAGCGAGCCTACCAACCACTATAGATCAAGACATTTGGAAGATACTGCCATGATCAATCCAACAGCTATCGATACGAAAGCGTTCGTGCTGCAATTTGTGGCTTGGCTGAGTGCTGATCGAGTAGGCATGCTGGGAAAGTCATGGCTTGCCCGAGGCCAGCGGATACCGTGACTCACGGAGTTTGCGCCGGACATTACCTTGACGAGGGGATATGAGACAGCAGAAAATATGAGCACTCATATGGCCCGGTCAAACTGTGGGAGCATTATCAAATAACGGGCGTCGGATACTCCCATGAGGCTGTCAAGGTGTCGTGAAACGGTCTCATAGGGCGGCCAGTGGTATTAAGTGAGTCGACTTCTCCAAAAAAGCAAAAATTGCAGATGATTAAGGACATTAATAATTGCAGGTTGGTCCATTGAGAGCTCCTGATTGCTCAGCGACCCGAAGTCAGAAATGCTGTGCAAATGCAAGGCCATGTTTCCTTTATTGGGGGCTGCAGAGTTCACGAGGCCGAGACATGGATGACGGTTCTCTAGGAAGATGGCGTCCCGAGTCAGAGCTGGAGATATCAGCCCCCAAAAGCTCCCGACCAGTCCTTTTCACAGCAAATGAGTGCCGTAAGGAAAACACCTCCCGAGTCTCCCAGTCAGCCTTCTGCTAGGTCGCAAAGGGTAACGGGGACGGGGGCCTAATGCGGGTGACGGTTCTACGATACTGGTTCAGCTGGAATAAAACGTGCCAAACGTGCCAGCCGTGGGCAAACGTCACAGTTTCGACGTTTGATTGGTCATTATCCCCGTCAAGCCACGAAGCTGTGGAGCAGCACTGCATGCAAAGCTCCAGCCCATTTCCCCTTCCGGCCGCCAAGTCTAGTGTGGATGCAGCTGAAGATCCACCAGCCTTACCTTATTCCGCATCCCTGTCACCGACCTGTCCGTTCTACCGGAGAAAAGACTCGCTTTTGATGGACTCGATGGAGGCTCGTCGGTTTTTTGTGGTTTTTTTTTTCCTCCGTCATCCCATCTTGGCCCCCCCCCCCCCGGCTGCCTGCCGACGAAGACCATGTGCTCGTTCCATCCCACCGTCCCAGATCTTCCCACCCTCTTCCCGGCCCAGGTCTCACATCCCATGCAGCCTTGTCCGGCCCATGTTGAGTGGCCGCAGCCATGATCCCGCATGCTGACCTGCCCACCTTAAACACCGGACTATCGTCAATTCTGATAGCCGTCCAGGGCTGGAACGTGGTCTTACAGGCTTTCAAGACGCAAGTTGGCATCATTTCAAGGCCTCCTGGCCCTCCACGGTATCCAGAGAAGTGTCTCTATCGCATCATCTTGCCGGGAACCGGGGGTATGCCACCAGCTTGGCTAGGGTCTCCGTCTAGCTTTGAGCTTGCAAAGCCATCCCAACTGCCAGTACCCCGGCGTGTATTTTCCGATTCGTCAGCTAGCCCTATCAGCGAACTGGGGGGGCCGTGGATGTTCGAACAGATGAACCAAGGGTTCATTGGACACAACCCTCTCAATGATCTCATGCATCCCTATGGGGCTCCCTCCGCTCGTAGGACCCGGGCATGGGTTCTGGTTCATGGTTCCTGGCGGGAGCCAGGCTTGACCTTGATTCGGACTACGCTCCGTAAACCTTCGCGGTTGATTTCTCGTGTCCTTTGGAGGCCGTCCAGAACATACAAAAGGAAAACAGCGTGGCGTTCAAGTTTGATGTCGATCATCATGCTCCATCCAGTGTTTCATGGTCCTCGGAAGTAACAGCCTCTCATTCGTTAATCTGGCACTAACTTTTCTATCTACTTTCTATTCACTCGACTTATTTCCTTCATATCAGATTTCCTCTGATTACTAAGAGTACTAATCTACCCTACGTACTATCATAATGGACGGATGTAAGTTGCAATACGTCAAAGTCCATCCATACGATGTGTTCCGGATGGCATTGGCTCTCGTGGTGCGCTTGTGTCTAATATTCTTGTTAGTGAATGACTATCGAACGACGAGAGTTGCCGAAGTGCTCTCCGATTTTCGTACTTTACAATACTACATCGCAGCAGCACCCACAGACCCCAGCAACATGGAAGACTACTACACAGAAGGCTGGGCGGCTTTGCGCCAATGCTCTCTCGACGGGCAGCACATTCTCAACTGCGCCGCCGACACCAGCGTTCCACAAGCAAGTGGCGGGACCCTTGAGCAGGAGAAGGCGGAGCTGAGGCAGTAGGAAACATCATTCTGGCCGATCCTTCGGCAGGCAAGCTGACTTTGATATTGCAGATGCTTGCTTGACGCGTTCTCCAGAAGACACGAGTGTCAAAAGATCTACCTACGACAAGCTGCTGCGCAGCGATGGGTTACCAACAGGGATGGCATTCTGCAGGGCGCTCGACCGAACTCGAGAAACCAATCGCATCTGAGAGCGTGTGATCAACAGCTAAGAGCTGTAAGTTCGGGATATACCGAGAGTGCTGAGACTGGTTGGGCGGCATGGACTAACACGATGACTCTAGGAGCTCGCTACCGTCACCGACGAGGCGATCTACAACGAACTGCAGGCATCAGATGCCGCAATGGGCCGCTGGACGGCTGAGGACCCAAGTCAACGAGCTGTGCAGCGCTGGCTCCGCGCACGTCGACCGTGAAGGCTCTCCGTCATGGTATCCATGAGACGAAGACTCACGAAGTTGAAACGACTGAGGATGTTCGATGACTCAAGACCAAAAAAGTAATGTTTCTTCTGACGGCATCGGGGACGACGGATCTTTGACATAAACGGCGCATGAAGGATACCATTTACGAAGCGAGCGTTTCGATCATGTTTTTTCTTTCCTTTCTTTCTCTTCTTTCTTCGGCGGAATGCATTATTACTAGCTTTTCATGGGCGGGCTGGACGCGCTTGAACAGGAAGAAGGTCCAGGCAGACCCAACGACTACAGAGAAGAAGGTTATGGTGATAGGAGAGAAGAGGCGAACGGTAGAAGTTTAGATGACTGAAGCTGCCTGGCGCAGGCACGTTGTTCGCTTCTACTGTATATATTTATTACACATATTCTACATGGATCGAGAATGCCAAACACCACATCTTGCATTATGCACCTCGAGCGAGACAGCGGTATACACAGATTTCATGCATGCACCTTGTCTCTTCTCGGAAAAAAAGCGGCCCCCAAAAACCATAGAGGTTCAGAATCAATACTTCGTTTTGCTGTGCACGCATAACGCTATGCCTGAAAGAGACAACACCATTCCCACCAAGGTTTCTGCAGCACATTTAGCCATCGTGGCCAATCGAAGAGGGTTTCCTCATCTTTAGAACGTCCGCACTTACCTCGACTAATGACCTTCTTCTCAACCCACCAGTCTCCAATGACAGTGAAGAGGAACGCCAAGGTGTTGACGATGGGAACCGTCAAACTCAATTCTAGCACATTCTCCGTTATTCACAAGACTCTTCTCTCACTATCTCTACCTCACTCCAGAAGGAATTGCGCTTGAATGAAGGGGGGCAAATGAAGGTACTCACCAGCTTGCCCAATGAGTAGGAAGAACCAAACACTTCCGGTCAAGTTAATCAGCAGCGGCACGGCATACCGCGGGTTCCGCAACAGATCGACGACGCCGAAGAAGGCGCCGTACACCCGGCTCCGGAGCCAGCTGTTCTTGACGGCGTCGGTGTCGAGGACCGGGTGCGGGGGCGGATTGTGGTCCTTTGCGGCGCGGCGGATAAACGGGGTCGTGAAGCCCCACGCCAGGCCGACGAGGAGGAAGCCGGCGACATAGTTGATGGCTGCAGGCTGGGATTCGGGGGCGTCCGGTGATGTCATTCTGAAGGAGGACGGGTGGGCTGCCCGGCAGTGATGTGTGTTGTGTGTGCGTGCGGATTCTCAGCCTCGTTTCGATATTTGGAGTGAAGTGTGGTTACATCAGCTGAGGCTCTATTGAAGGTTGATTGTGAGAATTGACGGGCAGGAGGGTTTCGTTTGGTTTGGTTTGCGATGGGATGCCGACGGTCCGGCGGACGGGGAATTGGGACGGGATGGTGTGTAGTCGGATTGGGGATGGGCAGGGGCCCGAGCGAAGCCTCAGCTCAGCCACGCGGCAGGGTGGGTACGTTCTTCCTTGACAGCCGCGCTGGGAGTGGTGATTGGACGGTAAGTCCGATCTGACATGGGCACCGCGGCGGCACTAGCCGAGCGGCTGACCTCACCGACTTCGTTCGATGCTTTTTTTTTTGGCGCGGACAACACTTACGCTTCCAATGACTTCACCTGAAAGATGCATCGTCACCGAGAATAGCCATCATCGTGAAAACGGTGAAGAGGCCTCTCACGATGCTGCAGAAACAGAACCGTCTGGCTTGCTACAATGGCTAACTTCTTCCTCCAGCTATTCAATGATCTAGTCATGATCCTAGACAGCTCGGGGACTTTTGGCAGCGCGAAATTGAGCTTGATAGGGTTGTCCTACTCTGTATAGAAACGGCTAGAAAGCTAGAACTCTCACGCCAGACCGAATTGTCTCACTCGGAAACAGACGCGATGCATTAGTCGGAAATTGAGTAGCCCCCCGCAGCCAGGGGGTTGTGGGCGACATGACCCGGCCTACGACTAAGCAAGGAGAAGCACGTATCTCCATCCTCGTCTCATTCGCTGCTGGGACCACGATGGTCCTTTACACGTATGCAAGACAATGGATCTCATCGTACGGCTGATGCGCCGGTCACACGAGCAGCATCGGTAGACGACGTGGAATATCATGACTCTTGAGATTTACTCAAATGCCGGGCAGTTAAATATCTCGTGTTTCCAAGCGGCGCATGGCCAGAAGTCGAATGATTGGTGTCAAGTCAACGCCGACGAGAGCCTGATACCCCCTATGGCTGGCTGAATGCACTAGCACATCAAACTTATTGAAACGGGTTGGTTTATTGGAAACGAGTGACCTGCAGCCCAACATGACTGACAAGCGTCTATCAATTGGGGGGGGGGGGGGGCGGAGTATGAGGGAAGGTAAGTAGGGCAAAGCGATGAACGTGATGGACAGGCTCCGCGGTTCTACATATCTATGAATCCACCCGCATCTCACATTTTCTTACAATTTCCTTCCCCCAGCGATCATTACGCAAAGATCATTGCATCTCCCCTCATTCCCTCCGGACAAGAAGCTCCTGCCGCGGGGAGTCTGTGCTCTCCGCAATATGCATATTTGCGTCTTGGCCCGGCCTAGCTCGACCAGTCATTGACATCACCAAACAAAGCCGATGAATCATCACCTCCTTGCCCTATTTCGCAGCCGCATAGCCAGCCTAGCGGCACCACGCCGTAATGCTCTTAGCGAACGGGCGAAGCTTTGTGATGGTGGGATTGTCTAAACCGCACGATTTTGCAAACGCAGACAGACTCACACAAGATGAGCACAAGATCAGCTTTCCTCACAGACCACAGCCCCCCCGCACATCTCGGCCCCTTGCACGGTCTAGAAGCGGTCTTTGATGCTATTTGCTTCGGGCTAATACCTACTTGAGGGCTGGATCTGGGCAAGCTTTGGACTTGGGGCGGTACCTTGCATTCCTCTCCCAGATTACCATGTCAGATTTCGATCTCACATTGCCCGTTTTGGCGGGGGTTTGACAATCGGATTTATTCTTTGGCGGTGTCAGATACCCATGAAATCAGCATTTCATCTCATTCTTGTCCTCGTCACCGGGTCAGGTCACGGCGAACGTCGTCTGGATGAAGTTCAACCAGCCAATGCACTCAATTGGTATCGGCATTTTCATAACAAGGTCCAATCGATGCCAACTGACTGAAGTGCTGCCGCTGGGAATCAGATACCTAGCCGTAATAGTGCATCGAGCATTAAGTCTTCCTTTCTTCTTCCGTTCAATTAATGACGATAGTATTTGGTCATGACGACAAGGTTGGGCGGCCGAGAAGCGCAGCCTAAATGAGATCGATCTACCTACATGCTTCCCACCGTACCTAGCATGGTGGTTTGAGCCTCGATCAAGCAAAGAGCGGTTCCAGATTGGTTCGCTTTGAGGTTACCCAAGCTCCAAGCTCCTGCAAAGAGCCGCTGCATCTCGAACACCCGCCTGATCACTTCCTCAAAGAACCTCTGCCCGGAGTGTTTGCTACGCTTCCTTCCCCTTGCTATGCCGTTTTCCCACTAGCATCATCGATCGATCTGACTTCATCCCTCCTCAACGACCGGAAGAATACCTAAATGGGAGGGGCGGCGGCGGACGGACAGGCATGAACCGAATTCCCCTAGTGTCGTACGTCCCTTTGCTCTCCCCCACCCCCGCGTCTCCCGTTAAGTGTAAAGTGTAACGTCGTAGGGGATTGTAGGGCTGGCACTGCTGTTTCCTTAACCAATACCACCAACCATGTTAACCACACGAAGCAGCGACCTTGAGGATGTCACCGTGTCACAGTCAGTAGTTTGTTCTTAGACCGGTCTATCATCTTTCTTCCCGCCCCTCCCCCACAACTTTCGCCCCGGCGCCGGCCCCCTTTCACAACGTGTGCCTCTTTACGGAAAGTCATGTCTAAAACCCCCTTCCAGGCACGCAAAGTACGACCGCTTGGGCGTAGCGGAATAAGGAACATGCAACACCATTCAAGCCACGACGCACCGACCTGGATCATCTCGATCTCGCTCAGTCTGCTGGGACGATGTTCTTCTTCTATGGACATACTACTAGAAGGAAAACCAAGGACGTCATGACTTTTCCTCATCAATGATCGAAAGGAGGAAATGTCACTCGAGTACGAGGGAGCTTCCGGCACTAGGTCCATACAGTTCAGACCGCTCGGTCGTTGGCCCGGTAGCCTTGCCGTAGCTCAGATGAGTTGATTCCACGTCTTGCTTCTTTCCCTTATGCAAAGGGGGTTGGAGTAAGATGTATCTTTTCACAAGTTCCGTATTTGATTATTTGGGTACCATGGGCAGTTTACCAATGTCGAAGTGAAAAGGCTATGTACATGAGGGGTAGATTCGATGATGACATGAATTACGTCGAAGTTGCCCGCTCCAACACATGGGGATAGCACCACGAGCTCTGATGGCGGTCAGGGGATTGAACTGAAGCCTTGCTTTGTTTGGGTGTGTTTGTTCTCCTGCAGCTCGAGCTCGACTAGGTCACAAGATTCCATCTCGATTAGCCCAGAAGTTGTATAAGAAGGAGGGAATCCGACACCTCTGGAACATATCTTTTCTCTTCTCATCATCACAACAACGAGCAATCAAACAATTTCATCATCTACCAATAGCTTAACAGCAAACTACCAAGTTTCCCAACTTCAGTCACCAATCACCAACCTTCAACATGCCTACCGAAGCTCAGATCGCCGGCGGCCACAAGGCCAACATCAACAACCCCAACACGTCTGAGGAGTCCAAGCAGAACTCCAAGAAGATTCTCGAGAACGAGTTCAACGGCGGCGATGTCCCCAAGGCTGGCGACAATGAGGAGAAGAACCCTGGCAATGTTGCCGGTGGCCTCAAGGCGTGAGTATTCTTCCCCATGCTAGTACCTCGGACTGTTGCTAACATGTCAATCCCAGTACCCTGAAGAACCCCAACGTCTCCGATGAGGCCAAGGAGTCCGCCAAGGAGCGTCTTGACAACATGTAAATGATGTTTATGAACCGATACCCACCTTATCGCTTGGGATGGAGCTGGCTAGCGAATATGAAAGAGTCAAGCGTTGTATCTTAGTCAATTAGTCTGGCGCATGCAGGCGATAATGAGAACACTGTCAAACTCAACAGTCTCTTCATGTCAAAAACTCACAGTGACATGTTTAATAGCAACCATAGTACTAATCATGTGGCCAGTACATTCACAGTTGCTTTATATGATATCCAACGTTGGGCTCACCAAATTCGCCATGCATCACATTAGGTATTCATTGAGTTGATTAAACTCATTACCTCATCCCGCCCATTTCATTGTAACCCTGAAATGGTATACTACAACTAAACCGGTATGGTTTCTGATGGTGGTGAGACTTTGTCCAGACCAGCCTTGTAGGTAGTTAAAGATGTTAATTTATTTTTGTTCACTATAACAATGTGTACCGATGCGAGTATGCTCATGTGGTTACGGCCTTAAACGAAGTCCTTTTAGCTTTAGATCGCGACTCGGGGGGGGTTTTTTTTTTTTTTGCAAGGATATGTATATATAATACCGATTGGTATCTCCCGTCTGTCTTCTTGCTTAGAAATTATTGCGGCAGGTGGACCAGTCGCAGAACAATCTAGACTCACGGATTAAAACAGCAAGGCTTGGGTAGCGAAAAGGCATGAAAAGTGTTATCTAGTACATTCATCTAATAGTCAAATTACAAGTCTATAGCTCTACATATGTGCAGGTAATATCTAATACAATCACATGCCCGGAGCCGCAAACTCAACGCCTTTGAACCCAAACGCCCTCTTGGCGCTCAAATACAACTCAAAGGCTCCAAGCTTGAGCTCCACCCTCAAGAAGCCGATCCACGCGGACATGAGGCGGAAGGTATTCGGCGGCCACAGCAGCGATCCCCGTTGCTTCAGGTCCTCGAGCTGCTCCTCAAAGACGGTCCGCGTGCAGTACCGAGCGAGGATCATGAAGGAGCGGATGGGACCCTGGCGGGTGTGCAGGTTCTCATCCAGACTGCGGGTGAGGTCGTTGGTCTTGAGGATGAGGAGGATGATGCGCGGGACCTGGCCGAGGAGCTGGACGAGATCGACAATCAGGCCTTCCTGCAGTGCGTCGCCCATCTCCTTCTTCTCGTCGTCGGTGCGCGTCTGCAAGACGGAGCCCTCGCTGTTGAGGACGCTCCAGTCGCGGCCTGTGATGGCGGAGGCGAAAAGGGGGAACTGCTCGTCGTTGATGTTGGCCACCTCCTTGGCATACTTGCGCATGCGCTTCATGTCGCCGTCAATGACAGCGAGCCACATCTTGGCGTAGGAGCGCTGCAGGTCGCGGGGGATTTCGCGGTAAAGGCCGTGGTCGTAGAGAATGATGTCAAAGTTGTGCCCGCCTCGGAGGCCGCGCCTAGACTCGTTCTTCCGAATGGCCAGGTTGCCGCCGTGGGGATCGCAGTGCAAGGGTGCATCGTGGCCAAAGATCATTTCGTTGAAAACGCGAGCGAGACAGGCGGAAACCTCGTCTCGGTCAATACCGTTGGCGTCAAGGTACTCGAGGTCGTCTAACCGGTGTCCTGATACCCGCTCCATGACCAGTATGCGCTCCTTCGACCAGAGAACACCAGGAACGACTAGGGGGTGCTCAGGCAGCTTGGCGAAATGTTCCCTCGTACGATTAGCATTATGCTCTTCTTCTCTGAAGTCCAATTCCTTCGGCAGCGAGATATCCATCTCTTTGGAGAGCCATTCCAAATCGTATTCCGGGAAGAAGCGCTTGAGCGTAGAGAACGTGAAACGTGTCAAGGCAAGGTCGAGTTGAGACCACTGGCCAAGTCCTGGGTGCTGTACTTTGACAGCCACAGGCATTCCGGTGTCCTTCACTGTAGCGGTGTGTACTTGAGCAAGAGATGCAGCACCAATCGGTTCGTTTGAGAATTCGGAGAAGTAGTCCCAGAGCTCTTTTCCAGTATCCTTGCGGAACATTTCCTCAATTGACTCGAAGGACGATACGGGGCACTTGTCTTGTAGTGGGATGAAGGTGTTTGTCCACTCTTGCGGGAGGAGGTAGTTCATCGCACTCTTGATGGTGTATTAGTTTCCAGAACTACAAGTATAAGAATAGGGGGACTCTCACAAGGTGCTGGCCCAACTTGATGAAGATCCCGCCGTTTTTCTCCAAGACCTTTAGTGTTCGATCGGCGCATCGCTGGTGACAGTCTTTCAAAATTTTGTTTGCTAATTCGGGGTCGTCAATCGTTTCTTTCTGGTTGAGAGTCGTTCGGTAGCTGCAATTGTATTAGCAAAGACCACTCCGAGGGTGTACTTCTTTGAGGAATATTCTCCTTACTCATTAATGCATACTGCGAGCGCAGCCGCAACACGGCCTGCTCGCTCTGCCGCATCGTAGCCGTACTTGATGTCGTCGCCCAGCGCAAGGACACCTGCTGTCGCAACGCCACCGCCTGAAGCAAGAAGCCACACGCGACCACCCTTCTTACCACCGCCAGTCCTCGGTGTAGCCCGGTTGATCGCGGTCTTCGTGGTCGTGGAAGAGAACCCGCGTGCGGTGTTGCTAAATCGTTGCTGTTGTTGCTGTTGTGTCCGGCTGGACTCCTGCGCCAACGGGCCTACACGACAGTTGGAGCATGTCCATGGCCGTCGAGTGGCAAGCCGGCGCAATGGGAGCGAGAAGGCGGTGAAGGCTTTCATCTGGACTCTGGCCGACTGCCGCCGACGATAAGACAAACAGGAGAACTGTCTGCGCCGATGCTCATTCTACGAGTTTATGTTGGGATTCCGTGTTTGCTTTTGCATGCAAACAGGCGTGTCTCGATATGGACTTTCCCAACAGTCGCTACAGATAGTGGAGTCGGTTTTCAAGGGATCGAGTCGCTTTGGGGGCGGTCCAGAGCCAATTAGTCGAATGTCATGTCGTCAGTCAACTCTTCTGGACTTTTTTTTTCTCTTCCTCTATCTTTCTGGCCCTGGGCCTGCGCCTGCCATATCGTTGGGGTCTAGGGGAACGGTGGCGCTCTTGACGGTCGCTTTCATTCGTCGAGCGCCACGTTTATCCTTACCTCGGGGCCCGTTCGGAAACCGCCGGGACAGAGGTCCAGCCCAAAAGACCGTAATTAACTGTTTCTGTATGATCCGTCACTGGACCGGGAAGGGACCCTCCAAAAGTGGATTTCACGTGTCACCGCTCTAAGCCACATGTGTTGTGGCGCAAAACATCTTTAGTTCAACCGCGTTCAGGTCGCGTTCAATGACACCTTCCCGCGCCGTGATTCAATTAAGCAATCTGCCAGAGGCGACAACTGCAACTACAGCCTCAGCTCCAGACTTCGGCACATTGGAATAGCACAACCAACAACCAACACTAATCTTTGCACTCAAGCATTATTCATTCGATCGCGATATCAACTCTATGCAACAGAACAAGACATCAGACGTCAGCCAAAGCTCCGAAATGTTCTCCGTCGCCGGACCCGTACCCATCTTCAGCGACCGGACGTGGGATTTCAGGCCCACGGTCCCATCGCCTCTTTCTTCATCGCCCATTCGCGCGTCATCACCCCTCTCGCCCATCAATGACAACACCGTACGCCACACACAATCCTCGCCTATTCCTCAACCAAAGTTCAAATACGCATCAAGAGCTACGAAACCGAACCCGATAGTTCGGAAACGCGAAGAAGCGCAGGAGAGCAGGAGGAAGCTGTTCCTCCAAAACGTGAGGCAGCGCGCGGATGATCGTCAATACCAGCGGCGGGACATGGAGGGCACTGTACGTGAAGGTTTTGCTACTGACTGTGATACGGCCTACTGACGTATCCGACAGCTTCTCAAGTCTGACTGGGATCGCGACATGCGGCAACGGCATTATGCCAAGCAAATTGAAGGCAACGCGGTGTTTTCCGAAGCGGATATCGAAGACGCGGCAGCTGTTCTCCAAGATCGCGCGCAACGAATCCCTGATGACACTGACGATATGATGGTTGATGCCATCGCCCAGGAGGAGCAGGACGAGCTCGATGCGTTATTACTCTCCTACGACCAGTCATCTGATGTGCAGCCCGAGACTGGCTCCTCGCAAATGATGCAGTCAGATCCATACGGCCTGTCAGACGACGAGGATTACGACTCGTTATTCATGAATTTGGTATCACAGGAAAGCAGTCAGCCAGACGCGTCCTCGCAAGATATGGACATGTCATGAAAATATGGCGTTGATTACGGCTGGTCTATTTGCTTTGCGGCGTTTATACGAGACTATTTGGCTTTCGGGGTCTGGGGGTTGCTATTTGGCGTCTGGCATTGAACAGCGGTCGGAATATGCCACGAATGGCTACTGTGTGTATGCAAGCTCACGGGACAAGGCACCGGTTGTGTAGGAACATATTTGACGGGACTTCCATTGGAATGTCCGATTATTGGGGATTACAGCCCTCGTCTGCACTGAAAGCTTCTTGCGCTGATGGCATATCACCGACCAAATCAGACGGAGGTGAGCCAGCAGCTTGCATCTGTCTCCTATTAGCGCGTGAAGATCCAAATTTGGAGAGGTTCCAACCTTTTGCATCCTGTCCACAATGTACTCTCTGTCCGCCGCGTTGGAATCGGCGTACGTCTTCTCCTCGAACTTGGCCACGATCTCCTTGACTAGCGCTTGTTGCTCCTCGTACCGCTTGAGATCCTCTGCTGGCGTCTTTTCCTTGTTCTTTGCTAACCACTCGGGAAACTTGTCGTTGAGCTCCTTCATAGGCTCGTACAGGATTTCTTTGTTAGTGAGCTGCTCCATCATGCCCATGAGCATCTTTGAGAACTCCTCCTCGTTGCCACCGCCGCCTTCGAGGTTGCCCTCTCCGAGTTGCTTCATCATCTCTGCGAGGAAATCTTCGGTAGATGACTCTGCCGCGGCTGCAGTCGCCTGTTGTCCTGATGCTTGCATGCGTTCCATGGTCTTCTTGATAGTCTCCTGGAAGGAACCGTCGGCAATGGGGTCGGAAACGGGAACTTTGCTTGAAGATGAGGCTGACGCTAGCGGTGTCGGCGCTTTTGCTCCGGTCGTGCCTTCGGCAAGGTTTTCCGTTCCTGCCGCAGCTTCACTAATCTGCTTAAACACGTTGTCGAATTGCGCTTGCATCTCGGGCTATGGTAAATGGTTAGCAATCGTATCTGAGTCGGCTGGCAGTGGAAGTCTCCCACATTCTTCTCAAATTCTCCAATCAGGTCAGCCATGCCGGCTTGGAGCTGCTTAGCGAAATCGTCGGAAGATAGCATCTCTTCCAGTGTCTTATCCTCAGAATCATCTTCCACAGCTGTCGCGGGTCTACCTGGCCCAGCCGCGGTGGTTCTCGCAGCTGACGCAGCAGGTTGTGCTGTTTTCTTCGGTTCCACATTCACGGCAGCAAAGTCATCGAGCATGTCTAGCAGAGTCAGTATATTCCAAAAGGCCGCAGAGGGTTCCCTATGGCAGGCGCACCATCCAAGTCGTCCAAGTCGTCTTCATCGGGATCAGGAACATCCTCAACGACAGTTGTAGGCTTCGTCTCTTCCACTGGCGGTACCACGGGTTTCGCCTCGGCATTGCCGGCGCCGGCTGCGCTACCATCCTTCTCCATCTTTGCAGAGTGCCTCAAGATGCGATTCCCAAACACGATGCGTGCTGCAGTAAATCAAAGGCGCTTGGGTTCAGTCTTGACAAAGGTAACTTGCAGTGCGCATTGGTATAGAGGCGACAGGAACCGGAGCCTCGGGGCGCTGCAGGTGATGGACAGCCTCCAAAAGGTTGGGTCAAGATTGACAGTCGCACCGGGCTGGGATTATGACCTTTGTACGTGCAGAAAGATGGACTGTCAGATGAAAGCCGAGGAATCGGCCTGAAGCTCCTGGGTTGTCTTGCATCTGGGCAGGTCCATTAGCCCCACGTCAGATTCCCAGCACCCCGCGCCGCTGGACTAACGCGGTATAGGGCGGGGTCCTTTCTCCCATTTGTCCATTGGGCGACCTGATGTTCCGCCTCGCGCCCCAGCCGCCCCCCTCCAGGAGTCCCAACTGCCCTGAGCTCCTGCGGAAGGTACCGCGGCATCTCACGTTTACCAGGTCTCACACCTTCCATCCGTTGGTCGATCGGAATCGGTACGTACCCTTACCCCGAAAATCTTCCGCTTTCCAACGCGGCGCATTCAGTGAGGCAAGTGCGAGGTGCCTTACCTCAGGTAATTCGTTGACGACTTCCACTCGCTACGGCTTTGCCTTTACACACCGAATTATCTTCGGAACCCCCCAGCCTTACCACTTTTCTCTTCTACATCGACTGGCGTGACCGTTCTACGTCATCTCCTCCATCCGAACGCCTCGATCCCTCGACTACGGCCCGATACGAAGGTTGAATCGTCCCGATTGTGCACAACCGCAACCTTTGCGACACGCGAGCCAGACGTCGCACGCGACTTCGGACACATACACTCTAAGCAACGATCACACTTCTCCACGATGTCGCTTTGCCAGAACAGACTTCAAGAGGAGCGGTATGTTGTTCAGCTACCCCGATCCTACGACCAATGCCTAACTGATCTGGCTGTGCTACAGCAAGCAGTGGCGCAAGGACCACCCCTTTGGTTTCTTCGCGAAGCCTCAGCGTAATGCGGCGACTGGAACCCTCGACCTGAAAGTCTGGGAGTGCGGTATTCCTGGCAAGGAGAAGACGATTTGGGAGGGCGGCCTGTTCAAGTTGACAATCACATTCCCCGAAGGTATGTTACCTAGAGAAATGACAGTGGAGTGAAAGCCAGTTACTGACAATTCTGCGCGAAAAAGAGTACCCAACGAAGCCACCCAAGTGTGAGTTGAAAACACCCCTAAGCTTGCAACTATACAGTAAACTGACAGAAGTTCCTCAGGCAAATTTGTCCCTCCGCTGTTCCACCCCAATGTCTACCCCTCCGGCACTGTTTGCCTGTCGATCCTGAACGAGGAGGAGGCGTGGAAGCCTGCCATCACGGTGAAGCAGATCCTGCTCGGCATTCAGAACCTGCTCGACGATCCCAACCCCGAGTCGCCCGCTCAGGCTGAGGCCTACAGTCTCTTCAAGAAGGACAAGACGGAATACGAGAAGCGCATCAAGCGTGTTGTGAGAGAGAACCCGGCGCCTTAGGAGCAAAGGCAGCTATGTGTGAATAGATTTACGAGATCACAGCGTCACGCCAATAGGCAGGACTTCGGAGTTACGGGAATACCATACGGTCTGCTTCTCTGCTTTCGATATGTCATATGACAATGCAATAATGATATTGTGAGGGAAGCAAACAGGGGGGCTTTCAACCCACACCTCAGCTGTTGATCTATTGAATAGGATATTTGCGTGTGAGATGCATCAGTTGAGTGCTTGAAAAGACGAGCAGACGTGCTATGCGAATCGACTACACGAGCCTGGCACGCAGGTAGGTAATGATGACTCTTTTGGCGGTGATTCCAAACCCCACCAGACCGTGGTGGGAGTCTCATTTTATTACCCGTCGAAAGCCGCCGGCTGTGGATATTCCACCGGAACCAATGCCGCCGGGCTGTTGTGTCGGAGGAGCGCGCCTCCACAATAGCTTGCTTGGCACGAGACCCAGAACCCTGACACTGGTGACGAGTAAGTCGGGGGTTGGAAGAGTCAGGAGTCAATGGGAGCGGGCGTATTACCAAACGGTGAAAGACACGGGCTCCCGAAAGCCTCGTTTTCCCGCCAGTCAAAGACTTCATGCCGAGCAAAGTGAGGTAAGTATGCCCGGCAGCGTTAAGAACTGCAGCTTCGCAGATAGAAGGCGTCTCCGTGGCACCATATGTAGGCTGTCGCGGAAAAACAGATTAACAGCAAGCAGCAAACAGCAAACGGCAGAACCACACCGACTCGTTGTCTGCGTTCTCGTTGGTGGCTGGGCACGATGCAGTTTCTTATCAGTCGGCAAGGTTAGGTAATTGGGAGACTGGTGAACTCTGACTGGTCAGTCCGCCAATGGGTGCGAGAGCCGAGATCGGCCCAGGGGACCAGCTATGTTACACTAGCGCAGCGCAGCAGATTAGCGTATCGTGCAGATGCAGCCAGTCACTGTGGTTCCGTCGCAGCGGACCTGCAATTTTGGCACACTCTGACACCCCTTGGGGATACTTTGGCACAGAGTTGTAGACGGCCCTGACGTTTCTGACCCTTATCGAAGCACCGGCTACGGCCTCCGACAACCCAAGCTTGGTAAAGTACCGGGTGTCAGGGCTGGGCTTTTTGTCGGATGAGCCAGGTGCTAGGGGGGGATGTCATTGTATCAGAAGCGCGGTCCAATGCTTCCAAGTAGGTACTCTCTGGGGCCGTTGCGGCAAATGGAAAGGGTAACTAATGTCATAAACAAATAACGATAAAATAAAAAACTGGGTGAAGCGCAGGAAGAGTCATAATTCTTTCACTCCCACCCCTTCACCCGGTTGCTCCCACCTCTTGCTCCGTATTTATTCTCCCGGGACACGTCTTTCGCCTCTTCGACCTTTTCTTGAGTTGCAAAGTTCATCCCATACACATACACAAACACACTGCCGTAGCTTCGAGAGACTGCAATCATGTGTGGCATTTTCGCTTGTCACCGGTAAGCCCAACTGCGAGATCGTCCCTACTTCGGCGCGGATGGAGGGGCAGCGCGAGCTCCCCTCCCAAAAAAAATTAACCCCTCCATGATGCCTCTGGAGAATGCGACTGACCGTGTGCGCGCGCAGTCACCCCGACGTCCAAAAGTTCAAGCCTACGGCTTTGAAGCTGGCAAAGGCGTAAGTTTTCCATCGTCCATCTGCAAGGCGCATCAATTGACCCCCAGTTCGCAGCATCCGTCACCGTGGCCCCGATTGGAGTGAGTTCTGAGTCACCGCGATGCGCTACTTCGGCACCAACCAAGCAGACAACTGACAAAACTTCCTCGCTTAGGCGGAAGCGTTATTTCCAACAAGACGAGTACGTTGAACTTGATCTCGACGATTGGTATTCCATCAATTGACCATCAATCGCAGTTCTGTGCCATGAGCGTCTTAGCATCGTCGGCGTCGGTATGTCCACCCTCAATACCTGGCCACGATTTCCACGGCTAACCACCCTCACAGAATCCGGCGCCCAGCCCCTTACCAACGATGATGAGAGCATCGTCCTTGCCGTCAACGGTGAAATCTACAACCACCGTCTGATCCGCAAGT